AAAAAAAAAAAAAAAGGAAAATAAATTCTGCATTTCGTTAATAATTCCTGTTCATTTTCAAACATTGTTGGAGAAAAGTTAAACTTTGCAAAAAATAAAGTTTATTTGTGCAAAACAGAAAAAAGTGCTGAAGTGAAGGCGAAATGAAATTGCGTAATCACCAGCGTTACAATGTTATCGCTTACAGTCCATCTTATTTTATTCCCTTTGGTTTCCTACCTTTCTTTTTGCCGTAATCTTCTAAGGATATCCTGCTTTCTTCTTTTTTTTTCTTCCTCTTCATCTTCGTCATCATCGACATCAAAAAGGAGTTTGCCTTGTGTACGATTTCCAACTGAGTTTTACTGTTTACAGAAGTCTAGTTGAGGTCAGTTGACGAAACCGCGGTCCATAGCAGCGATGGGTGGAAGACCTGGACGGCCAACAGGACAACGCATAACTGAACTGGTCGTTCATCGTGCTACTGAACAACAGTATCAACAGACCGGTTACACTAGTGTTCTGTTGATAGTTTGTTCTTAAAGTACGTATGTATGTATAAATATAGCTAACTAATTAAGTGACTGACTAACCAACCATTTATCTATGCAATTGATTGGTTGATTGATTGATTCGGTCGTCTAATTACGCAAACCACTTAAGTGGAGCAATTTGGATTGCTTATCCAAATACTTTGATAAAAAATTAATTGTTAATATTATGCAAATTTACTGGCACATCTAGCTTTATTTTTTTTGTAAATCCCAATAAACTTTATTAAAACTGTAGAGGAACAAAAAAAAAAAAGAGCTTTTTTGAGACTGTTTCAAGTTGACTTTGAAATATAAAAACAACTACTCAACCTTCGATGAAGTCAATTGACATATATTACATATTTACTGTATGAAACAGCTTATCTAATCAATACGGCAGAATTTTAAAAAAAATTAAAATCATAGTTACCAAAATTAGATCACTGAATAAATTGCTCTACTATCATATATTCATTTAATAGTCAGATACCGTTATTTCATTATCTCCCAACTAAATATGATGAAAATTTGTGCTTCCGAAATATCAATTTTAATTTTTCATTAATAGGTTTTTGCTTTATAACTGTTTTTCATCATCCAAATTTTATTTACTAGCACTTTCTTGGTTTGGCTATCTAGTTGGGATTCCATCAAATTTACCGCCCTACACCGTTTTTCACTCTTCCTTCTCTCTTCTCCACGAAACAAATAATTTTTTCAGAATGTACACTTAACATAGTCATCTCCTGTAAAATTTAAGAAAAAAAATTGGTTGACCAGCTTTTCAGTCAGTAACTGCAGATGATCAAACAAAATTTTTGCTGCATTATTAATGAATAAACGGTAAAATTTTTTCTGTTTTTTTTTTTTACACCGTAACATATAACTTTCAAAGTTGCTCCCAAATGAAGAAACGGAAAAAAAAATAATTTTATAAAATTTGTTTTTTTTCCTTCCTTTTTTTGTCTTCTTTATTAGTAAATGTATATGTATGTGAGTTTTGGATAGACTAAAATGGGCTTAGCATAGCAAACATATACACACAGATATATAGCGATCAAAAGACCAACTGCTATTGCAGCGCCATCATCAATCGGGGTCACAAAGGTCAAACAGACGGCGAATATCTTCTTCCGCATTTACGGTATAAGCAGTATAAATAAACCTAAATAAAGAAATTCCTCAAAGATGTTTACCAATTCCGTAAGTGCGCACAAATGAAACAAAAATCTTTTCTAAATCTTTGTTTTAAAAACTTTCTCTGTCTGCAGCTTTTTCTTAGCAAATGGGAAAAAAGATGATGAAGAGTTGTGAAAAAAAAAAATGAAGAATCCATGTGACAGGTCCGCTTCGTCAGTTGTGACCATTGACAACATGGCAGATGGTCAACAAATTTTATATATACATACACAAATGCATTCTTTTTTGCTCATCTGCATTTCTTTTACCACTGCTGCTTTGAACGTTTGTACTCTTTTTTACGTAAAAGCAAATTTTTTCTCTTCTTATTCTTCCTTTTAGTCTTCATCTGTTCCTTTTTTCTTTTCTAGTGAATTATATTGACGATGGTGAAAAAAAAATAATTGAGAATTAAGGACAGAAAAAAGAAATCGGGTTAAAAAAAATGCAACAAAAAAAAGAGAATGAATGAATATTCTAATAACATAACAGCAGCAGCAGATGTAATCACAAGATTTGGTTTGAGAGCACCAGTACTGGTTGGGGTAACGAGAAGGAAGGGGTAAATCGAGAGGGGAGGGGTGGAACAAACTGGAGGTTTTATTTTGGTCAATGATTATACAGCGGCTTTATAAGTCTCTTCCAACCCCCAAATGATTTGCTGTTGCTGTTACCGCTGTCCTTTCACAGCTGCTAAGCAGTATCAGTTGAACTGAACAACACCAGCAGCAACTGCACAAGACTGCCTGCCTGGCCATCTTGTGAATACCCCCTCCGAACACGCCATACTCTTCCAAAAACTGACGATTGCGGTACTTAAGTCTGTGTAAGTCTCTGACTTAGACAAAGAGAGGGGAAGAGAAAAAAAG